AGGATAAGAGAAATTAACAGCTCATCTTCAATCACCTCTGTGAATATATGTACAGAAACTACTACAACTTAGCAACTGATATTCCTCATTATAACTGGGACGTAGTTTTAATTCAGGTCATAGAAAGATATCCTGTTTAATGTATTTTCATTCAATTTCCTTGTTAATATACATCATTTTTTGTGCAAAAGTCAATTATTTTTATGACCGGTCTGCTGAAGGTCACTGGTGTGTTCTCATTCCCTAAGATGCTATTGTTCAACTTTACCCGAAACACAAAGGGATGAAGAGAAAAGCTTCCAATTTCACTGACAAATACAAATTTTTAAGTTATGTAAAACCAAACTGTTGAGTAAAACTGGGTGAAGCAAGTTAACTTTTGTCGTATCCATATAAGTCGACACGCCTAGAAAAGTTACCTACATCCTTGTAAATCTTGATATAAAATTTATATCTATCGTTACTAAATTTTACGTAAGAGTTATGTATATATATAAATGCACAAGCGTGTTTCCAAAGTACCTACCAGGTGATTTTACTAATATTCACTGGAATACGATAAAGGAATCCTGTAGACGCATAGAGGTACAAAAAAGGTTGAATTTACCAGAAATGTTCATATAATACTTATAAATATATCCAAAGGATTTTAACAAGAGAAAAAAGGTGTTAACAGCAGTATCTATTCTAAAAGGTTTATACTCTAATTTAAATATAATTACTGTTCATACTTATCAACAGAAAATGAAGAAACATTTATGTCTCTAAAGTTATATCATTTTTATATTTTATGTAAATTTCTAAAATTGGAGTAAAAATTGATTAGGATTTCCAATCATAAATGGACGTTCTAAAGCTATTGTAATTCGATCATTTTTGTATTATTCAGTTTATGTAAAGTCAATTTAAACAAATGAAAAGAAAATTACAACACTATAGGCAGATAAATACACATGAGTACTTTAAACACTTATATGAAAGAAGTTATTGAGGAGAAACTCTGAGATAATGTTTGATTGATTTTGAATGTAATGCAGAGTAATTTCAAGTTGAAACGGAAGTGCAGGTTTCAGAATTATTTAGCAGTGCATTCATTTATTCATTCACTGAGTGTTGTATTCAGTGGAAAGCAAAACTCAGCTGCTGGTCACAGATAATTTATCCGTGTTAATAAGTGAAACATAATGTTGCCTTGATTGTCATCATACCAACTGCTTATTTATATCCTCTATTCAACGATTCTTATCCTGCGGATTGAGTGCAATGGATCCTTGGTGAGAATCACCGGTATATATATATATATATATATATGTATAGCTAGGACAGGAACATTCACCTACAGGTTACCCGATTGCTGCATATCATGCAGTTGGTTGAAGTCTAGATAGGTTAAATTGAAACGGAGAATTAATCAATAATTAAGTCTTTTTAATCAACCAACGACGTATGGATTTAATCCTGCGATTAGGTTCTTGTCTTTGAAAAAATTCACTTTTTATTTAACAATTCGATAAAACATGTTTATAAATATGTGATAATATCTTAAGCTACATACTGAGTACCTCATCTCATGAGACTGAATACTTAAACTCAGAATCTCATTATATTAGCCAAAACATATTAGTATGATTGCTGTAAATACTAAAATCACATAACACTAGTTAATGACTAGTATCTAATCAAAAATATCCAATGGACCCCTACAGGGGGTTAATTGCAAGCCCGAATATCTGCTCAGTGGTAACGTCTCTGACTGCAGGTGGCACTGGGTGACACGGGTACGAATGTCAGAAGGGACATGAATTCCTTCAAGGTTGCAGATGCGCCTTGCTGACTGACCAGGGAGTATCAACTAGCACGAAACCTAGGTGCAAGGCTTCCTATAGATTGTTTCCAACCATCTAATAAAATCATTCCTTTGTCAACAGCTATTTCTGCAACTCTACAGCTTCAAGAATGTACACTTCAAATTCAGCTGCTTTAAAAATAATTCTACATCCTTGAAGACTAAGTTGTTTCATTTTATTTTTTTATTTTGATTACAGCTTGATTCCACACTGTATTTTTGGTACAAGTATGAAATTTTGAGCATGTAATATCGGTAGCCCAAATTTTGCTGGCCAACCACTGATATCAGGTGTTCGTTGGCAGGAGATCGAACCCCAGATCATGTGCATGGGCGGTGAGAGTCCTAACCACTGTGCCACCGATACACATTGTTCTAAGCAGATTTATATCGAGTTAATCGTATTTCTGCATATTTAATATTCGATGTTTGAATGCTGCGAGAAGCGTGCTTTGAGTTTTTATATCCAAAGTATTTTCAATCATTAATAAACTGTGAAACGAGAATAAGTTCATTTGGCATGCCCTCTTTTTAAAAAAAAATATTTTGTCTTTCCCTCAAGGGTGAACAAAGATGAAATGTGAAAAAAAGTAGATAACCTCAGATGTGAAACATGCACAAGACAGATTTTGCAGCATTAACAGGAAATACGCTTCCATTAACCTCTCAACTGGATTGACAGTTAAAAATGTCATACATAAATTAGTTAAACTGAAAATAACCTCAGGCCATCCACTGAACAAATAAACCAAGTAATAAAGTTGAACGTCACGTGCTAAACTAGCTTTAGTCAATAAATGAACACTGTTGGGACATGTTAATCAATATGGAAATGTTCCATTGTATCATCAATGCAATTAGGGTACTACCCACTATAAAAGCATAACCTTAGTCTGCAGTTCCTGACTTTTTTTTAAATTCTGAGTAAACACGGAACATTATGGCTTAGCACTCCAGATAATAATGTCTTGGCTTTCTGAAGCGATTCATTACAACCACCATCACTGATTGAGATACAAATTCATTGAGACAATGACTCCCGAACAGGACGAGACAAAAATCATAGATTACACTTTGAACCACAATAAGCCAAAGAAACGATATCTTAATCGCGCACAATACTCTATTTTGTCTCAAGTTTTATCATGGACTGAAGTCAGCTAAAGAAGCATTGGAAACCAGGCAATACTAGACAGTTGTTTCACCCCAGTTTGTGACTCTTCAGTGTCGCGCACACACCAAGGTTTGAACCTAATACCTTCCAACCAAAAGGCAAGCTATTAGACCATCCAACCGCTGGGACAGAATCCAATGGTGCATGAATTCCAACTTCTATCAATTCGTGATTTTAGAACACCCACCAGCCGTGATCAAACTTGAAACAAATGAGATTCCTACCAACTAATGTCAGTAAGACAGTGGCGCCTTGTGGAATAAATCAGATTAATTATGATGATATTTCAGTAGTTTACACACAATGGTAAATTTTTTCCTTTAGCTAATATTTCGAGCAAAATTACTGCTCGCGATGCAACCAACTAACTCATGAAAATTCCTTTTTTTAACTAAGTTTAAGTTAAGATTATCAAAGATGGAAATCCAGTAGGTAGATTTTACTGGATGGAGGAATTCATCATGGGCTGACATCAGTTAGAGAACCTCTGAAAAACCTACAGGGAGTTCTAGAGAGCAGTTTCGTCCTAGTTCGGCACTCTTTTATTGACAAAACCTTATTGAATTTTTGACCAAACTTGCATCATTATGTTAAAAGATGGTTTTCTACTCTTCATAGCTGAATATCTTTCCAACAAATAATTAAGACTAACTGTTTGATTATATTGAAGCGAAAAGACAGTCTATATCCAGTGCATGACATTCTCAAGAATACAAAAATGCACAAAAGAAACTGGAAGCAACCATAGTGTTTGTGAATTTACTATATTTAACATTAAATAAAGGGTAAACTAACAAGTTTGATAGTTTTGCTTTAATAACATTAGTTCATTAAATTTGAAAAATAAAATCGGATCTGTTTCATTTGCTGAACCTAATGAACGCTAAAAACGTCATCCGTCTATTTAATGTTCCTAAGAAGAGTTCAGCTTAATTTATTCCACAAATTACTCAAGAGAAAATAGGTCTAGATAATCTACACTATTTTAAATGATCCATTTTATTCCCAATTCAAATTATGTAGGGAAGAAGATAGGGAAAATTATGTAAGCAATGTAAATCATAAGATTTAAATTTTGCCTCAGGCTGGATTTTTCTGTTAATGTTCAACATTTAAAAAAAGCAAACTTTGAGTGAAGCTAATTAGTACTTATCAGTGAATTAATTAATTGCCATAGAACATTTAATTTTGAAAGTATTAATAAATGAAGGTTATTAAAGTAGGGGTTCAAAACTACGGTGAGAGTTTGAAGGAGGACACAATTTATATTTTTTAATTTTTTTTTATTTTTAATTACAGCTTGATTCCACACTGTATTTTTGGTACAATTATGGAATTTTCAGCATGAATATCGGTGGCCCAAATTTTGCAGGCCGACTATAGATATCAGGTGTGCGTCGGTGGGGGATCGAACCTCGGACCATGTGCATGGTCGGCGAGAATCATAACCACTGTGCCACCAACGCACAGTGATCAAGTGATAGTGTGTGACCTCTCAGAAGAAAGTAATCTATATTCAAATGGCTTTAATAGTCGTTTTTTACTACCTATCTCTGCACACTGTATCCTCATGAATTTAGTACTGTGGAACACTGGCATCTAGAACACGTAGTTTGTTAAGATCCTGACTTGTCAGCCAAATTTCAGTTTTAATGATGCTTGTTACGCTGATTGGCTTTATAAAAAACTATAGATATAAAGTATGAAACTTTGACAAACAATGGGATCAAAGTTGATTAGGAGAATAATATCTTACACAATAATAGAGTTGATTTGCCAGTATTGTTCCCATCGGTAAGAATACTTGACTTTTATAACGGACTACTTATTCATCCCATAACCTGACTTCCTATGAGTCCAACCACATCTGAACAATTACTTATAAGTAGTATACCAGAACTAATATGAACTACTTTATAACTCAGTATGTATTGATCCTTATTTTATATTTTTCTTGTTTAACCCTATCATCCAATTTAGATTCGGTGAAATACGTCGTTTGGACAAGAAGCAACAGTGCTGTTGGTCATGTGAAACATGTGGTGTAGATCAGCGTGTAGTCAACTTAACACACTGTGAAACATGTCCATTTCAACACTGGCCTTCAAAAGATAAGAAGACATGTGAATTGTTAGAGGTAAATAGTAACTAGTATTAATAGTCTATCTACAAAAACTTTTTATGAATCACTAAGCTGTGTTAGCATCCCTGAAGTCAATTTTTGTATTTCCATTTTATATTGTACTTTTTAAGTTACGCAAATTAGAGCCGTGAAACTTCACCGATTTTGAGCTGAAACTTAGTCAAAATATCTTATTTTAAGCAGTATATGCGTCACATAAATAAGAATAGGAAGTTGATTGTCCATATGCATTCATACATATATGTTTCTTCTGTAAACTGTGCCATATGCAGCTAACTATGCCATTTGTACACACAAGCACGTTGGGTGGAGGAACTTAATAAATTCTATTAAGAAAGTATCTATGATACGAATAATAATTAATTAAATAGACGTTTTAGGTGAAGGAAATTTTCTTCTTTTCGACAAAGTCATCAACTAGACTGTATATTCGCATATTTTTAGCAAATGTGTCAGAAAGTTCCAGAATTACTGCCGGTCAAAGGTTAAATTAACAAAGTTACAAAAGTGTAACAATCAGAAAGATCAGGTGAAAAAGATATAATAAGGCCATAATTACTAAAAAATCTTGACTGTTTGTATAATTACGGAATAAAAGCGTAGTAATAACAAAATAGGTCGGGAGTTTGGATGTAAAAAAGAAAAAAAATACAAATGTAGTAATGCGGATTTGAATTGTAAGCCTAAAAATAACAGAAAATATGCACTGAGGAATCAATTGACGAAGAATCGTGACATCTGTGAGGTAATTTGGTAGAAAATGGCTTCCCAGCCAGATAAATAGAGAGGAATCTGAAACCAAAGAAAACGCCTGAATAGATCCAAGTCATCCCCAAAATGAAGTTGATACTGAACCTCGAATTTAAAACTGATACCAAAGTAGAACTTTTCCGCAGACAACTTTCAAAATCTCTCAGTAAAACACACTTCACTGCTACCCTACAAGTAATATTTTCCTGCAAGAAACTATTCAATCAGCACGTGAAAGACAAATCATTGTGCTAGGTCACATGCACATACCAGTTTACTTGCTCGTGTGGAGCCGAGAATATTGACTCTGTCAGGCATCCGCTTGTAAAATGCGCTTGGGAACACTATCCAGTATAGTTAGCAAACAGAGAACGCAAGGGTGCAAACAATTCGGTAGCAGAATATCTGGTGAATTTAGGACATTCAGCTCCATTTGAAAAGTCCTTCAAAATCGCATTCAAGATCTGGTCAAACCTACTAAAGGGAGTGAAATCAAGGCATCTAGGAATAGATGAGGCAATGGCAATCCAAAAGTTCAAGCCCACTTCATGTGTTCAAACGAAATACGTCCAACCGTTGTGCCTACCGTGGCCATCATGGAAAGTCAGTCTCATCAATAATGGTTATTCTATTACTTTTTTTATCCAACCTTCCTGTTTATTTCTGTTACTTTTAGGCTTACAATTCAAATCCGCATTACTACATTTGTATTTTTTCTTTTTTACATCCAAACTCCCGACCTATTTTGTTATTACTACGCTTTTATTCCGTGATTATACAAACAGTCAAGATTTTTTAGTAATTATGGCCTTATTATATCTTTTTCACCTGATCTTTCTGATTGTTACACTTTTGTAACTTTGTTAATTTAACCTTTGACCGGCAGTAATTCTGGAACTTTCTGACACATTTGCTAAAAATATGCGAATATACAGTCTAGTTGATGACTTTGTCGAAAAGAAGAAAATTTCCTTCGCCTAAACCGTCTTTTTATAATTATTCCTATGAACCATCGCGTGTATTCCGTGATTTGAAGAATAAATAATTCTATAAGTGAAGTAGTCTGCTGAGTAGATACATATCGTAGATCAGTTGCAAACCCCTTGAACGAGTAGTCAGTGTGCCACTGCTTCGAAACATACCACGAGTCATTTCAATTTCCATCATCATACATTTCATCAGCAGAAGTATGCTAACTCAAGTTTATCTCTGATGTTCCTAATTCGGGAGTAAAATACATAGAACACAATAATGGTCTTTATGATGGATAACAGGCCTAAGTGCAGTATATAAGAATGGTTGTTTATGAGTAAATCGAATCACGTACGCAAACAACAAAGCGCCAACACTAACGTTATCATTCAGAGGTATTTCAACTTGTGCAATGATAATTCACTCCAAATTTGGTTTGTATTTTGTGATCCTTTAATTTCTATTGTTTCCATTTATCATATCGATTTGTTTGACCTTTACTTAGTTTTGACATGAATAATATGACAAGCCGATGAATAGTCAGATACTTCAGAATGTAAAAGGCTGATACACTGCACATTGCTATTAACTTAGTTTCATCATATTTTCTAAAGCCACTTTGCCTAACACAGTAAAGTAATCTTAGAAATTCTAAATGTTATAATGGAAATTTAGTAATAGTTTTGGTCAACCCTTCAGCAAATGTATAACTGAAAACAACAAGTCATCCACTAGTAGTTAGTTAGTTAGTTATCGTTTTGACCTCTTGGTATCAAACAGCATTAACTATTTGTGGTCATGTGTAAAGTATGTTAAGAAATACATTATGCCTTCTATAATTAACAATCCTTTCACCTGTCCTCTGTTAATCTGTTTTAATTAAAAGAAATTCTAATATAAAATAATCTCAAACTTACAAATTCGTCTCATAAGAAGTTAAACAAATTTAACTGAATTTTAGATTTTCCTGTCGATTGATTGGACCGAAGTGCTCGGTCTCAGGTTGACATGTCGGCTTCTTGTGCAGATGCTTCGACGATGTCTGGGCATTTAATTAGTATTTAATTGGTGGATGGTGACTAGCAGTGGAATCCAGGATGCACATTTCGTCCTATTTGGGACTCGTCAGCTGGATGTACCTGCATTCCTGATATGTATCCACATAATATGTGTGTTGTTTTTGACAGTCTGTTATATTTTGCTATGTATATATGGACCGATATTCCATTATAATTGACAATATGTTTTTGTCTGTCCATTAACTAAACAAACATGTCTGACCTTGTTGTCACATGACATTACAACCAATCATGTTAAGACTGTCTATTGATTCGTTCATTTTTGAACATTCGCTCATACACTTGTGTGACATTGATTTTCCTTGTTTGAAAATACAAGTATAATGAACCTGGTGGTTTTCTGATTTCCGCCTTCTTGCGTCAGGACAATTAATTACTCGACCAGTACATAACAATTCCCCAGTGAGTGATGACGTTCGAGCCTCGGTGGGAACATCATCACTCACTGGGAGGGTGCAGGTACATCCAGTGACGAGTCCCAAATAGGAAGAAACGCACGTCTTGTATTCCACTGCTAGTCACCACCTACCAATTATATACTAGTTAAAGAAATCTTTGAATTTTAGATCAGACTGACTACGGTACTCACTGTATTATTATAAACAGCTTTTACCCTTCATCATTTACGTGATTGAGTCAAAACGTAGTCTGCTTTTGGTCGCGTGCAATAAGACGGGGTGATATATTTCTGTTTTTATGTATATGTGACTATAAATTATGTAATATTATCAGCAAACGTGAGAAACGTCTGGGTAATATACAGGTGGTAAAACATACCTACTTCATCATATATGGTATTATTCAGGACAAAAACACTCATCACTAATTTCGATTATTCATATGCATTGGATATGGTAACATCAAAAGTTCACTGGCAGCATTAGCTATTACAATCTAACAGTAATATTTAGGATTACCTCTTCTAACTACGCTCAGCCACTGGCGACTATAACCATTGATGTTGAGTAGTTAATGTTATCCTTATCTAGTCTCAATTCTGATAACTGTCATCAAGACATTAGCGTTTATGTTATGAATCTCATTCCACAAAGTTAATTCCTACAGTTATTGACAGTCGTAGGACATGATATGTCAGCCACTTGAAAACTATATGACACATAAAGTATTATCACCTAGACACAGTTGTACTACCTTAGTGGAATTATATTTTACGATACAGTCCAAATTCTACTCTTACACTCAGAAATAATAGTGCTTACAACACCAAAGATAGTTCACGTAATACTAAAATAACTCATTTGTAATATTGAAGTTTGGCTGGTCAAGCGGCATTCTCTCCTAAGGTACACTTAACTCTAAGATTTTTTAAAATTTAATTCATCTATAAGTCAATGTAACATGTATCAGTTTATTTCTCCTTTTAAAACTTGAAGAATACTTCGCATTACTATGTATCTTTCGTTAAATATATTTATTTCTTATGTACAGCTCCATTATATTGATATTTCAACTTGGTTCGCAATCGTTCCAATAACGTTTAGCAGTCTTGGAATATTAATCACTGCAGGAATTATAGTTACTTGGCTTTTATATTCTGAAACACCTTTAATTCGAGCTACAGGACGTGAATTGGCTTATGTACAACTAGCAGGATGTCTTGTTTGTTACTCATGTACATTTATTTTGATTGCAAGGCCGTCAATTTTTACATGTTCAATGCAAAGAATTCTTATTGGTCTTGGATTTGCTATGATGTATGCATCACTGTTAACAAAAACTAATCGTATTGCAAGAATTTTCGATGCTGCAAAACGTACTACTAAACGTCCTGTATACATTTCACCGAGATCACAACTTGTTATTGCTGGATCATTGATCGCCTTGCAATTATCCCTATCAGCTATATGGTTTGGATTTGATTCACCTGATACACGTATCGATGAAATTCGTCCTGGTTTCTTAGTTCTACGATGTGCAATGAAAGATAAAAGTTTTTTAATTTCTTTAGCTTATAACATGATTTTAATTATTGTATGCACAGCATATGCTATAAAAACTAGACAAATTCCAGAGAATTTCAATGAATCCAAATTTATTGGTTTCACTATGTATACAACTTGTATTATATGGTTAGCATTCCTGCCAATGTATTATGCTACGATTAGTAATCATCAGGTGAGTAGCTGACTTTTCATTTTTCAGTCATGACAGTTGCACAGATTTTGTAATTATAACGAATGCATATTATTATTTGTTTGTAATTCACTTGTAATTTTCCCATTAACTGGTTATTTAGAAATATTTGGCCTCGGTTGACATATCGGCTCCTAGTACGGACGTTTTGAGTATGTTTAAGGATTAACCTGAAATAACTTGGTGAATGGGAGCTAGCAGTGGAATCCATGTTGCGCATTTCGTCCCATTTGAGACTCATCAGTAGGATGTGTCCACATTGAAACTGAAACTCAGTGTTCATCGTTTCAAAGGCCAATAGACCACTTGGGTCATCTCTTGTGCAAGTGGTATTAGTTATTATATGGTTTTAATTCCATCTTGATTTCCTAGCTGATTGGCTGGACTGAAATGGTAGGCCTCTTTCAACATATTGGCTCGTAGTACGACCATTACTCCCTGAGAATGCAGATATATCCAACTGTCGAGTCTTCAACAGGCTGAAGTGCGCATCCTGCATTCCATCGCTAGTCATCACCCACCAAATTACTTAAAAGCATATTATATTTTTGCCCGTTTGAGTAATTCCTCAAAAACATTTTAATACAAATAGGAGGGATAATATCCTATTGTACCATGAATAGCTAAATTCTATTCTTGCACTCATACGTATATCTCATCCTCATGAGTTATGGATATTTCATTTGCACCCTCATATAACAACTGTGGTACTCACAAACACTAAATATTGCTCAAAACTAATTACACATATCACATGCTAAACAATGATGACTTGACAACACAGATTTGTCCTAATATGGAAAGTTTTAAAGTTAAAAAAAGAGCAAAATCATACATCCTTTAACTTTGCTTCCTTAGTGTTGTCACCATGGCTACTGTCTCTGTTACTAGCATAATGTTTGTAGCCAGATGGAGAATGAACATAACTGGTTGTTAGATGAGCTGACATTAAATAGTTTTATCACTGAAATAATTCAAAAGTAGTTTTGTTTTAAAAATAGTCTATGGTGATTGTCAACTTTACAAGCTAGTAACCAAGTGACTAGCCTGTATCAGATTACTTATTCTAAAAATATTGATCTTTAATAGCTTCGTAGTTTTACAAAAAGAGCTCACTTTGCTAATATCAACTTAAAGACCATAGGAATAAGGAAATTTCACCAAACATACTTCTATTCCAGAAATTAGGAGTGAGAGAGAGGGACTATTTAGGAACGATAGTTTTATGATTACACTTATTTTGTTGTCTTAAAATATAAGAATAAGTACACTTCATACCATATAATTTTAAAGGAATGGTAAGCCGGATTTTCACAAATAATCATTTCTAAATGCAAAGTTCTGGCTTTATGTAATATAATGCTGAGGCCTCTGCTTTACGAAGCAATCGCATTTGTATCCCTCTCGGCAAACTTTGACAAACTTTTCTGACTATACTAAACGATGAGTCAAGTGCTGTGTGGTCAGTATCTACAATATGCCGCACTATCAATGAATGAGTACCTCTACATTCACCTTTGTTCAGCTAAACGAGGAGGCGCTATCGAACGCGGCAGGATATGTTCTCAACGAACGTCCTATGTGCCTAGCTCCAGAAGAGCAGGTGAACATATAAATACACATCGGATCAGACAATCGAGGTAACATTTTCTTGACATTAAGATGCACCAGTGGTCGCCTAGAGTAGTTTATTCGTAAAGTAGCATCAGAGTACTTTCTTCTCAATGATCTCGTCAGACGAGTTTTTGAAGAACCTCACTCCCAGTGTCCACCCTAAATTCTAAGTTTCCGTGCAACACTCTTTTAGATGCCTTGTCAATCAACTGTGACTCATAATTGTTATTGTCTGTTATAATTCATGTGTATACACTTAGGAATGTAGAGCTGTGAAAGTGAAATCGTTGAAATCTCTGAATTCTTTGTTTTTATAGATGAAAAGTTAATTGAAAAGAGAGACTACAAGTTATTCTGTCGCATCCAAACTAACTTTCTAATAAGGTGTCATGGGATCAACACTTTTGTAATAAATGATGCGTTTTGCAACAGAAATATGGAAAGATATGAATAATTTACTTAAAACTATGTGAAAAGTCGCTGTCCCCCCCCTCAACCATCTCTCTCTCAATCATTTATAAAGAGTAGGTTTCATTAAAACAAAGCATTCAGGTCAGAAAGAAGTATATCAATCATCCTGACAGATTTATTTTAAATTTTCCGATAAAATAATAATGAAACTTGATTACTTTCCTTATTATTAACAATATAAACATCAGTTAACATAGTTAACATTTATAAACATAAAGAAGACGTAACTTGTCTGAATCGTGTAATGTATTTGAGCAACACATGTTATGGGCAGTCCGTTAGTGCCCATTTTAGCAGATATTTATATATCGCACGTTGAGAATTTATCGGAGGATTTAATCGAAAATGTGCCACTTTATAGAAGGTATGTAGGTAATATCGTAGTCATCAGTGATAAGCCTTGTTCTGCCACCTTAATTTTAAATCGAATGAATGAAGTTCAGAATAGCGTATCAGTTACATCTGTAGAAGAGGAAGATAATTGTTTATCTTTCCTAGACATATTGCTTAAGCGACGGCTTGATGGGTCAATAAAAATATCTATTTATAGAAAACCTACCTGGACAGGACAGTATCTTAATTACCACAGTTTCTGCCCTGTTCGGTACAGAAGAGTCTTAGTGAGTGAGGTGCCTCTTCAGTAGAATCCAACGAATATGCACTGAAGACACACTTGATGAAGAAGAAAGAAAGTTGACACATGCTCTGGTTGATAACAATTATCCAGACAAGTTCATCAGGAGATATAAGTTAGCCACTCTCTAACTCGCCCCTAAGAAAGACGTGTACATCAAGCTACCCTATATGGGGCCTCAAAGCAGCTTGATAACTAGACAAAGACTGAACGCTGCTGTTAAAAAGACTTTTATGCAGCTAATATCATAATGCTAGAGAATGTAAAGCCATTATATTTATCTAAGCCCTTCGAACATGCGGAAAATGACGTCACATCCCACTGTATTAACCAATTTAAATGTATGTGTCGACACACATACATAGAGAGGACTCATCGATCTCTGCAAGTAAGGGCTTCAGAGTATATTCCTAAATGGCTATTTCAGAAGTAAAAATAATCTTCGGAACCTATTAGTGGTGAGAATAGGAGACCTAGCTCTTCTATTGCGAAACATATTATAGAGACAGGACATAAAATTGATGTTAACAGACCTTTTAAACCTATCTATAGAACGTGTTTGGGGCGTATCCTAAAGTTTGTGGAAGCCCTAGCAATTAGAAAGTTCAAGCCACCTTTATGCGTTCAAAAACAATTTGCCATTACATTAAACCTTCTTTGAAAAATTTTGTTTTGAACATGTCCTTTTTGACTTGACCTAAGTCTATTTTTCTCACCTCTTACCTGTTTATTAGTTTATATATATTCCTATGACAAGTCCGTGTGTTGATCAGATTGTTCGAAATGTGTTGCGCAAATGCATTACACGATTCAGATAAATTACGTCTTTTTATTGCTTTATCTAAATTCATAAAGGGAACTAATTGTTTTAAATTTATAAACATGCTAATATATGATAGAATAGTGAATTCAGTCTTAAGCATTAAATAAATTCGAATAGACTTTAGTATACCACTATGAATTAATTACACAAACTTTCTGTTTGTCTGGGTATATATATATATGTATTGCAACAGAAAATAGGGAGAAAGAAACAGGAGACAATAAGGTGAAAACAATGAGATGTATTATACTTGGATAAATCATATTCATTTCGTTTTTTTTGTTTGTTTTTCACTTACATTGTTGTCGCGTGAGAAAATGTTCTGCTGTTTCAGTTTACTACTGAATAAGTATGAAAAGAATCATTTCCAGTGTCATTGTAACAAATTATTGTCCTTTCTTTCACTGCTTATTTTATCAATTATTTATCGATATACACACTTCCGTTGACTAATTTGTTTCACTGGAAAAGTGGAGAAAAATACCATATGAGGATTTGCAGTAAAAACTAGGCAGCACATACTATCTACTTTCTGACTAAAATGAACTCAATTGGAATAGGTGAGGCCAACATTCTGGTTCAACGGTAGAATACTGGCCAATCACCCTTATGTTTCAAGGTTTGATCGTCAGCCGAAGCAATCTAAAACCTTACGTAATGAATAATAATGATAATAACTTTATTCTAGATAAATTTAATAAAATGAACAGAATTTTCAGCGGAAACTTATTGCATCATATTTTCAACTAAATCGGACATTTTCAAGTGAAATTATAATTGATAGTAGGCCTTCCTCAGTTAGCAGTGACTTTGGGTGCATTTCAAATACTTTTGGGGCAGTCTGCAGACAACTGTCCTGCTTTCTTCAGTACACCCTAAGTTCTTACCCCGAAATGTCTGCAGTGGACCGAAAGAAAATGCTAGCTGACCTAAAGCGCATACCAATCCCTGATGATATTTCTTCTTTGTACCCTTAGATAAATGCACATTTGTTTGAAAGTCAGTTAAAAAAATAAATGAGTACATCTTGCGACCTAAAGACGTGGCTGAATGATTAAAGACTGTCTGATGGTTAGTTTTATTTCCTGAGAAGAGGCTATTTATACTAAAAATGTCAGGAACATCCATCTCATGTATTGTGGTTCAGTGGCCACCAACGACTATGCCTTATCTCAAGTTTAGTAGAAACTATATATTTATATATATATATGGTGAGAGCAGCCTGCTAGCCAATTGGTTGACATTATTATTATTATTATTATTATTATTGTGTCTTTTAGTTCCTAGAGGAACATAGGGCTTCAGCTGCGCATCTCCATCGCCTTCTGTTTTCTGACAACTTTTTCACCCCGCTCCAAGTCTGCCCACCTACTTCCATTTCCTCTTCACATGGCCTCCTCCAAGTCACCCTTGCTCTGACGACCAACTCGCCGATTCCCT